GGTCGTACTACGTGTTCCTCTAGTGGAAATTTGTATCGAAGACAATAAATCCGCAGAACAGCGTTTTTTTTTTTTTTTGTACGAGCTATTATGTCGGCCATACATATAAATTTCGTGAATTTTAGTAGAGATAATTAAGAAATTACTAACTGGAATACCTTTTTATTGATAGATGAACTTTATGTACATACATTGAATTACGCTGAAAATAGTCCACCGCGCTTACATTTTCTAATTTTGTCGAAAAAATGCACTGTACGAAGATGGTATCTTTGTAACGAATGTAATAATATTCCATCAGTGTTATTGTTTGCTTGAACATAAAGGGTAATGTGAAATTTAGTAAAATAATTGGCGAAAAATTAATATATCCAATTAAATCTACGGAAAGTAACTTACACTGAAAAACGTCCACTTATAATATTTAGGTATCCCCTGAACTAAAACATTTTCAGTTAAATTGTTTTCGAGTATTTTTCGTTTAGTAAGCATTAAGTTAGCTTAGTTACATTATATTACTTTATTGTTTCACATATTTTAGACGTCTTTGGAAAAAATGCAATCTCAGAAAAACAAATCACAATAGAAGAACGAAAATTGGGCATTTTTCATCATGATCAAGGCAAATCACAACGTGAAACAGCATAAATTATAAATAGTCCAATATATTCTTAAAAGTATCAAACGAAACAGGAAGAGTGGCAAAAATATTTTAAATGGTCACAGCAAGCGATATGCCTTACGAAAAATTAAGATAGATGCGACAAAAAGTACCCTAAAGCTTGCTGCAAATGTGGAAAAATACTTGAAGAAAAAAGTACATCCTGAAAATATTCGAATATTGACAAAAAATTGATTATTATGCTCGAGTAGCACGAAGGAAGCAATACATCAGTGCAAGGAACAAACTTGAAAGACTCGAAATTGCTCGGATGTACATGAATCAGGATTTTTCTAGAAAAACGTGCTATGATAGAAATAAAATTGAAAAAAAAAAGAAAGAATTCAAACATGATATTAGCGCAATTTTAATAAAAACAAGTAACTTTTATTGGCAATATTAAAATTTCCCAGTAAATCTTGCGAAACTTGATTCTGACATACCGAAATCAAATTTTATTACGATTTCGTATAAAAAACGGTCCTTCCTTACAACAACTCAATTTTGATTTTGAACGTTATGCAAATTCGATTCTCTTTTCTCTTTTTATTCTAAAAATTTCATAAAATCATTTATACCTGATCTATTGAAAAACGATTAAGATAGAAATGATAAAAATTTCATCGCGACATTTTTCCAACAAATTGTTCCAGCAAAAAGATACGTCAACGTGTTCAAGAATACAGCCAGCAGTTATCCGGGCTCAAAGAAAAGTTACAAGTGGTTTTCCACGATATATTGTCCGAGTGTCAGCTTGACGGAACGCGTAGTACCTCGCCTCAAAATGAATCGAACGAGTGTGAGAAAGTTTGCTCGGTCAGCTAGGTTGGATCGATGGTCAGATGGGGATACGAGTACCAAAGTAAACTTTATCTTGGCTACCAGCCACGACCCTCCGTAGGATCACTAACAGAATGATAACGATAAGTTTAGTAACTGCTCAAGCTGATATCGATTGTCATTAGATACCGTACGAATTTCATTTGCCTATTTGTCGCGCAACCGTTGTAACCCCGAGATGTCGCCAGGGTGATATTATATTGTTCGTCGATCGTTCCACATTTCCTCCTTTTATTTACCGTGAAAGGACTTCAATTTTTAACGTTCTTATATCTTATGATATGTTACAAGAAACCGAAAAAGGGACACTTGTTTAGATCGCTATTGCACGTATTCCTTTCGTCAACTGTACAGAGCAGACTGTGTGAGCTTGGTTGCAGTTCAATCTTCTGCGAGCCATGTTATTTAACTTCTTTGGCTGATGATAGGTCATTATATACAAGTTTTATAACACAACAGGATCGTCGTGTTTGATTTGATATTTAAATAAAGAATACAAAATTCATACGTGTACTTGTTCGGCTGCGAATAATTCATAATTCGAGAAAATTGGAAATCTTAAGTGATCGACCGCTTATGTGATAGTTAACTTTTTCGTACAAAATATTACTTAATACGTAGGAAATAGTTTAGACATGTATTTAGCACTTTAAAACGGCGAAAGTTCGTGCGAATAAGATTGGATTTGATCTTGTTTTAGAATTATAACAAGTTTTTTAAGGAATTTCTGGATGAAATAATGTAAATCAATTGTACCCTTATTGTATAAGAGAACAAGCTCACTTTTACGACTTTGGTAATGGTTCTTTAAATATTATTTATTATATGATTGAGTGCAGCATGATTAACCCTCCGTAGATAATATTTTTTACACACTCTGTGAGCAAAATGGATCGTTTATGCTCAACAATAAGTCTAATTTTTCACTCCTCTAGGCTTTCAAAGCACCTGAAATAATTCCGGAGTACTTATCAAAGTTTCTACTAAATTATACAATCGTTCGTTAGGTGAAGTTTTCAATAAAAATTCATTTTAAAGAAATATAAGAGTGAAATTTCATTTGGGTCTTTAAAGACCCAGATTACCAACTAAGGGTTAAATCTGTTGGGAGAGCAATCAATGACCAGACATTGACAAGTTTGTATTTGTAATAGGTACTTTAAATTCATTCATTGATTCATTCTGAATACCTCTTGTGAATATAAGCTGCCACTTACAAAAAGACAAAATTCTGTACACCTACAAAAAGAAGTTCACATTATGGGTACGTTACACACTTATTAATGATAATTAAGTACTCGAACCATTTCCTACATATTAAATTACAGTCTGGACAAATGAAAAATAATGGAGAAAGATACAATAGCATATACCTTTTCTGTTTAGTGTTACTTATATTGACAGTAGATTTAACAGTATAGGGAAAAATCGTGCAAAAGAGAGCAACCTTCTAAAGTCTGCTTTATACCCGACGAGAGCAGTATTTTACAGCTAATTTCATAGCTATACATTACGCACTCGATAATCTCATATTCTATTACGAATACCGATATTAAACAGTGTTGATAGTGTTATATGCAACACTCTTAAAGATTAGTGCCTAACAGTAACGGTATTTTAGTTATTGTTCTTGAGCACAGATTTAAATGTGATTTTTCGTTTGACAGAGATTTCTGCGTCTAGTCAATGGTATTATTAAGAATAATGAATTATCGTTAAAATTATCGTCGTAGAAATAATCGTCAGAAATTTCATGAAATGTACAAGATTTTACAGTAAAAGACGACAATAAAAATAGATATGTACAAAAGTTAAATGTGTATTAAAACATTGTAAAGTTTGTCATTTTTTAGAAAAATTCATTTGTTATAAAATATACGTATAAATGCTTATATTTTAAAATTTACTGATTTTGCTCGACAGTACGCTAATTTTATTTCGGCAGTGTGTTATTTATACATTTGAAAAAATTGGTTAGCATATAAAGAATTTATCAACAAGTGCAATATATAGATTACACATTTCGTGTTACTTGACTAGACGCAATAATCTTGGTTTAATTACATCGTAGACAGAAATGTATTTATCTTGCGAGTGCTTAAATACAGAAATATAAGAACTGTTACGAGAGTTGTTTTCTTTTTCTTCTATTTTTCTCTCTAAATAGGCGTGTAGAAACATTGAGTTGGTTTCATGGTAAGTTAGAATGTCATTTCCGAGTCGTAAGTAAAAGACACGGTTAATACCATAATTAACGAAATTCACGATTGAGAAGTACGAGAAGTAGTCTATTCCTCATTTCACATTACCTTCTATTAAGAGAAAGAACTGAAATATATTATTTTGCCGTTTATATATGTACATATCTTATATTACAATACATATCTGCAAAATAATCTTCTCTTATCATTTATGCTTCTGTTCGACAGCTGTTTAGACGAAAACATGAATTTCACATTCTACTAATACAGAGCGAACGTTCATTAAGTGTAAACCAGGATTAACGTAGGAACGTCTGCAGGAAGTTTAGGAAATTCCTAGAACATTTAGGAGACACTTCGTATATCCTGAGGATATCTTACTTAGAACTTGTGTAATGTAATTACCGGCTTTATCAAACACGACATTATATCGTCAAATTGGACCGAGTTTATTTTGGCGTGTTTACTAAATCGTGTGGAAGCTGATAACTATTTTTGATAATATTATTTTACTATCAATATTTGCATCGAAAGATAAACCTTTCCTCGCAAATACTTTTATGTAACACTGGCTCTAATCCAACATTGATAATTGACGATATTATAAGTAATTTATATCATGTACATTTCCTTCAAAACAGAAATGGAAATTAATTACGCTTCTTTCATGAAATTATTCTCCCGAAATTCAATTAAATTCCACAATTTTCAATCGGTTTTGTTTAGATTCGAAACGACATTCCAACTATTTCCAATAATCGCCGCGTACTTTCTTTCAAATTGCTACATTCCCCGTATGCAACGAAGATGCCTTCTTTAAATACTTGTTCGTACCAGTTAACATTAAATCTTGAAAACTTTATACACAGACAGTCCACCGATTGCTAACGCTGGTTTCAAACGTTTTCAAACTGAGCAATATCTCTAACTTGTATCTCTTTCGATCATAAAGAACTAAAAACACCCGGTGAAAGATAAAAGCTGAACGCTACCTTGAACGAGATCAATCTCGAAATTAATGTATCAATAAAACTGAACGAAAGTGTTTCCTTTCAGTTTGTCCGGCATTCGTTGACGCGCATACTAATGTCACTGTGATAAAACTATTTGTAATACACACGACGCATTATGTGTACCTGTCGACCCGGAAGAGTCTTTGAACGTACCCAACTAACAGGCTACCTTTCACTTCGTTACCTTCGTCAAACATGTAATACTTGTTCAACAACGACAAGAGACAGTTTTACATTTCAGTGTTTTCTTCAGTTTCCTCCTCGACTTTCGGCAACATATAGACACCAGGAATCGGTGGTACGTGTTCCTCGAGTTTCAAGATCGGTTTGCAGTCTCGAGTGACGTCTACCTGATTGAAAGAGTCCTTTAGTATATTGATTTCGTTCTCATGGGCGAACATGCTGGTCGGCGGTTCTGTTCCACATATATCGTTCTCGTCGGTGCCATTTCTGTGGCCCAAGTTGCCAGAGGGAAATTGTCACGAGGTCAATGCAAAAGGATCAGTCGACAGTTCGTCCACGCTCGGGCTGCTTTTCACTGGCTCTGACTTTTCCGGACGATGACTAAGTCTATGGACGAACTCGTCATGGAGAATGTTGAAGCACATTGCCGTGAGCCCCATACCGGATATTATGTAGAAGGAGCAGAACCAAATGGTTATGTTCCTCGACTCATAAAGGCTTTGCGGGGGGTAGGAACCGGGAACCATTTCGCCGAACCCGATCGTGCACAGGCTCATGAAGCAGAAGTAGCTCGCATCTACGGTTAAACACGAAAACGGTGAGTTTAGTTGTACGATACAGAGCTATTGATTTTATAGTATATATGTGATCCCATTATGTTAAGTTGCAATAATATGAATAAAAGATTGTGTGTACTGTGCAGAGCTGGTAAGGTGGTAGACGGGAGGAACGAGGGTCTCGTTGATTGTAGCGGACACGCTCATGCAGTCTTTTATTATTGGCCGAAACGGTCAGATCGACTAATCTATCGCGTGACGGTGAGGATTTCTTTGAGAATCAAAGGTGGAGCAAGAGGCTTACTCCCCTTGACCCTGTGTCTTCCGCAGGGGGGCGTCTAAGGGTGTTCGGGGCTTGGCGATCCCCCGGGAAAATCCCGAGCTGGTTTACCATTACCGAGAGGAGTGAGGTCTCTCTACTGGAAGTGGTGCTGGTGTCCACCCACGAACATCCCACCGATGATGTAGACGGTACCTCGGGCCGGCCGGCCTTTCCAAGCCACGTCGGGGGCTGTGGCGGGCATTCCGCCCTGGGCCGGGCTGGGCCCGCAAGGGCTTGCGCCAGTGTGGCGCGGGCACCTGCGGCCACAGCACCGGGGGCTGGCCGGGTTTGGTGTAGGATTCGAGGTGGCAGTGGTTAGGCCGCATGCTGGCTAGGGGCCCTTTTTCCAGGCTCCGACGTGTGAGTTGCGAACAACTCCGGGACCAATCTGGAGAATTGGTAGAGTGTTGGACAGTCGCTCCGTGTCACCCGTTCCTCCTCACAAGTGGCCCTTAGACGGGTAGGTGTTCAACCTGTACCCTTCGAGGGTCTAGTTGGGCAGCCGTGCTGATATGGCGACGGCCATTGGGGGCCGTCTGATTTTACGGCGAAAGCTAGGTATCGGACGTTAAACTACCACGACACTGACCCTGTGTCGTCCAACTTACCAGCTCTGCACGGTGCTTACTTAGGTACGCGATTTTAATTTATCGTTATCGATCGTGAAAGATTGAAAATTTATAAATTATAATATTGAATCAGTAAAAAATTGTACAATGTTAACGTAATGCTACCTTTATATGCACTCAGGATTTATTTAGTGTTGCATAATTTGTAGAGAGAAGGTAGCAAATAAATAATATTCACGTTATTTACATTCATTTATTAACAATTGAACTAAGGAAAGAAGGTAATGTAAGAGAAACGGGGTGAAAGAAATTTCCGTGTAGTATCTAAGAATTTAGCAAAATGTTTAGAAATAAGGCTTCAAAGACAAATACAAGCTTCTTGTTTAGAAGCGAGTAGGAAAGACGTCACTGAAAATATTTTTCCTATAATAGCAAAAAATCTATTTATATTTGTATTTTCTTTGTTTAATTATTAACAAATGAATGTAAATTATTTTTCTTTGTACTGATAGTAAATGTTGTGTTTTTAAACGAAATAACGTAAATATCATTTATTTACTACTTTCTCTGTGAAAATTGTATAACACAAAATAAATCCTAACAAGGTGTATGTACTGAGACTTTTTTGACTGAGTGTGTATAAAGTTATATTAATATGCTTAAATCAATGTACTTTATAAAGTAACTTACATAATTCTGATATAGTTTTGTTATAGCAACAGTGTATTATATTTTGTAATGGTAAATGAGATATGCAAATTTATAAAAATAATACACGTAATGAGATTTATGAAAAAATGATAAAAATCTAGCAATTTGTAATATTCTCATATATTATTCGCATACAGTTAGTTACAAAAGTCTACACATACACGCTGAGCAATAAATTTGAACGTCTATACTATCAAAATGGACTGAGAATGTGTGTTATATACCAGAGGTGGCCAGCTACACTACCTTTGAAAGCCACATTTCAGGAAGGAATACTTGAAAGAGCCATTTATTTATCTTTGATAACAAAACAAACAATGAGAAACTGAAAAATCTATGTCCACCCCTGTTATATACCATAGAGTGTTTAACATTATTTCTTTAATTCCTCAAAATTTCCAAGTTGTTGTTTACTTTTTGTTTGGTTAAAAAGAAATTACATTTCCCTTTAAGAAATGTGTATTTTAAACAGGTGTCGTTTTTGGAACTTTCTTTGAGATTTATGCTTTGTTCGTAAAGATGACATTTGAACTTTTGTTTCAGATTATCTCACATTACGAATGCTCATAGATAAATATCACGTTCTAACGTATTTCTAAAAGTAAACGCCGCCTCAAATTTTTCAAACAAAAAGGAAACGGAATCGCAGGAAAGCTCTATTTTCAACTTCGTTTCCAAGAGAAATTGGTCATGTTTAAATATTTAGGTGAAAAAAGTGACCAGTTTAGAAAGTGTATGTGAATTTTGCGACTGGCTGTATGATATGGATTTGAATGTACGATTACAGCGTAAATCTTTTGGCTGAAATCTCTTTTACACGTACCCCCAAAGGACCAGCCGTCTAACTTGTGCAGAGTAAAAGCACCTGCCACAATATAACACAGCATTGTACCTAGACAAATGCTGATTGGTGCGAGTATAGTAACATTGGGTCTGTCACCGGAGCCAAGACTCGACACTTCGTCCTTCGGGCTAGCCTTAATTTCCACTGTGCTCGTAAACGTCGACGCATTCGCGCGAACGTAAAAGGGCTCCTGTAACTGCAATTGCTGCTGCTGCTGCGCCAGTTCCTCCTGCTGCCTTTTTTTCCTCATTCGTCTTTCTTTCTCCTGCATTCGTGCCAATTTAAAAGCAATTTTTCAGATCGATATACGAAGAAAGAGCTCCGGTTCTTCTGTGTTACTCGGGGAAACGCTTTTAAAAATTTACTTCGACAAGATTCACGTGCAATATGATTGATTTCATCCCGCTACCGATATCTGTTTTCTCAGTCGTTCGATTTCTCGAGTGAAAGAGTAGAAAAAATAAATGTCACATGTAACATATATTAGAATATCGAGTATAAGGAAGTTGATTTATTATTGCATTAGAGAATTTGTTCGTTAGATGTATTACACTGCAGTGTGCATTTCTACGAGTAGACTTTTGGTGAAAGCACATATTAGTATGTTGTAATATTACTCGGGTGCTTGGAACATTTCACGACTTTGATAATAAACAATTACGTCATATTAAAAGAATCTACATAAAAAATCTACATTTGTTATAAACTAGTATCACGTTTTAAAAATATTATTATTTATTTTTGTAAATATTGTATCAGAAAGAACATTGTTAGAAGCAACATTTTTTCAAGTTACCATAGTATGGTAAAATAGTATTTAACCCCTGAACGCTTGTGCCCGTGTCTTCGTATAATTTTTTGAAATTTTTATTCAATTTCCATATTGCAAAACATGTAAGTTAGAGCATTATAAGTGATGAGAAACTTATTTCTATATGCCTAGAAAATAATTGAAAGAAAATTGATCGTTACCGATGCATCAAGTTGAGAAGAATGTAATCGTTAAAGGGTTAAATCGAATCTTAGATTATATTTGTTAATGTTTAAAATTCTGTAATAATAAAACGGTGTAATACTCACCTCCATTCGTCTTTCATCGTAGCAACAATAGCCACAATTTGAACAAAGGCAGCAACAAAGAGCACGCGTGAAAACACCTCTGGCGCACCTGGATAAAAGGCCTCCAGCATTCGACAAGTAAACCAGGAACAAAGGGATACCGAGACTGGCGTAACCAGTAGTCGCGATTTTGCCCCATGTAGATTTTGGCGTTATACTGCCACAACCTGAAACGATCATCAACAACTTAAACGAACAAGTTCACCTTTTCTTTTTGCTCTGAAAGAATTAAACGAGTTAATTCCTTTTTCTTAGGAAATATTCGCTAAAAGTGACCTGTACTTCTGACGGAATCGTTATTCACTGAAAATTTTACAAAGTTAACTTCTTTACTGTTCACTTTCCAGGAAAGAATGCATTTACTTCTGTGTTAGTGCTTCGATTTGCTTCTTAAATACCTACTCAACGGGGTAAAATATGTGAATATATCTAATTGTAAGGATGAGTCGCATAATTTGTCCGCCCCGAAGAATTTCTAAAGTGTGTTCTACAAAAAAGTGTTTTATTTAGAAATTGCACGGTATCGGAGGAAGTATATGATGCTCAAACGGTATTTTTAAATAATCTATTTGTTTACGAAATATTAAAGTAACCTTGAAGTTTTTGAATGGAATATGTACAATACCGGTGAAAAGTTTCGAATCACCCGCTAATTTACGGTAAAATTGAATCCGCTGCTAATTTTTTATAGATTTGAAATTGACGTTGCGGAGATCGATAGTATTTTACCTTATTTCGATTGATTTGAACGAGGAAAAATTGGTTGAAATATTCTTAAAATTGCTAACTTTATTCTGAAAGAGAAAAATTAGAATGAATCTATAGAATAGTGAAAAAGTGGACAATTTCTATCCTTAATTAACAGATTGCACAGTTTGAGCACCTACTATATTTTTATAAATCTTTCAAGAAATGTGGACTTGGTTTACATTTGCTTCTCTTATTTCGTTCATTCTTCCCGCTCATTCCGTTCACTCATTCATTCATTCTTTTAACTAATTTAATTTAATTTAATTTCAACCTTAATCTCCGGTTTTGTTCTTTTCTATTGCCTGTTTTTTTCTCGCTATTTGTCGTTCTATCTTTATCGTCCTCAACCACTTTTCTGCCTTTTCATCTTTTCTTCCACTCAACACCTCCTCTATGCTAATCTCACTATTCACTTTCCTACACTCTCTCGCGAGGAAAAATTTCGAGGGACCCAACGGGAATCGAACCCGGGATCTTCGGCGTGGCAAGCGGAAGCTTTGCGCACTACGCCAATTATCTCCTCGAGCATCTACTATAATATAACTAAGGTAAGCAGTGAGACCATGAACAACGTTTTTGCAGATATCTTGCTAATTATCAGGTTTAGGATAAATAAAGCTTAATACATACCTTCTTACAGAGAATTCGCTATTCTTTTAAAATTCTAATACAAGAATCAAGGTCGTCTTGATATCTCGTAAACAAATAGGTTATTATAAAAATACGTTTCAGCATCACATGTTCTCTTCGATACTGTGCAATTTATATATATTGGATGATTGCGAAAATTCGTGCCGGATTTTCAGAGGTGGCGGGAACATTATCGCACTTCAGTACAGATGTTTGTTTTAGCGTTATGTTACACTCCTATCCAAAGATACACCGTTTGTGTTTTATTTTCAAATAATTATTCATCTCATTTCATTTTATTTCCAAAGGAAATGTATCCTTGCACACACCTCTTGTGCTTTATTTTCGAATCGGGCACGAACTTTTGCAATCATATAATATATAAAACACTTTCTTGCAGAACAGATAGTCTAAATAGGAATTATCTGGTATGGATAAGTTATGTGACTCACTATTTAGGGTGTCCTAATAATCATATTACAACTTGATTTGCAGAATAAAGTGTTCGCACACAATGTGTTAGGACAGCAAGGGGACGATTTTATGATACGTGATTTCTAGTTCAGCAAACCGTTACTTTAATTTAGCAGACCGGTCTGCAGCCAACATGCGGCACGTAGAATTTCTCAAATATTAAAAAATAGGCTATTGTTCAGTCAGTAAGGCAAGGTATCATAAAGTCACCCCCAAAGGGTCTTCGAAACCGATGCAATTACCGAGGCCTCTCGGTACCTGACCTTCCGAACGAGTCGGAGAGTCAAAGTTGACCTGGCCAGGTTTTGTCGTCAAATTTCCATCCAGCAAGGACTAGCTTCGTCACCCTCGCTCCAAGGACGTGACGCGCTCCGGGCGCAATGGAAGGGGGTGATACGGGGTTGGTCACTTAGTAATTTTAAGAACCTCCCTTCGCGTCCCTTCTTCAAATTTTCGAAGATTTGGAGAAGGGACGACTCGATAAGAAGGCCGACTTAGCTTAAGACCACAGAGTGTTAGTACACATACCATCAGTTACATTAGGGATAACAAAGATTCAGTCAGACTCTCAACGCAATACATTCAGTCTTCAGACGGCACCTAGTGCAATCGCGGAAATTAGTACCCGAGTGCTTAACACAATGTGTTGCGTTTGAGAAAAGCGATTTTGAAAATCCATCGTAAACGTATACGCTAGTTGTGAGTTTCGCCTTAAATGGATCTCGGTACCTATAGATGATTATTTCTGTTCGCTTTTGTATTTGTAAATATAGACAATCTCGTGATTATGGTATTGTTAGTAAAAGTCCAGCTATCACAAACTTACAACTACTCCCAACGATAAATAACGGTAACGGCAAAAAGCAGAGGTCGCGATTGGTACTAAAATTTATTTAGGGAGTGCAATATTTATAAACGAGTGTGCTTCGTAAGCTGGTAGGAAAAATTTAATACCTGGTGGAAAATAACGAGTCGAAGGAGAAAAGGGGAAGCATTTTCCGATAGGCGTGGAGCGGAGATGGAAAAAGCGGATGCACGAGTCGATCGGGCCGACGCCGCTTAAGATAATGGATCGACCATTGGAATTGCTCTGGATCGTGCATGGTAGTGGCTTCAAGTGCATTGCCAATGGAATTGTAGCCGTGGAAACATTGTGGAACTGCACGAAAGCCTATTCGTCACTGTCGTTTCGCCTTATCGTTTACGACGGTGTGACCCTTTTCGCATCCCTTATCTGTTACCATTTGTTAGGGACCGCGGCAGATTGTCAACTTGAATTTTATTGGTCGAACGACAACAATATATGGAGTCAAAGCGGCTCACAATGAATTTGTTAATTGCTCGTATTGGATACGAACTTGTCCAATAATCGACGTTAAACGAAAGATAACGAAGATATTCTTCTGTCTGCTATTCCAGGAGATGAGGTGAACAGTTATACTTCGCCAGTATATTCTACGGGCATAAGTAAGAAAAAAATGTTGTATGAATATACGTCGTTTGAAGCTTTGTTAAAAAGTTATAACAATAATACGAAATAGGAAGGGAATGGTAACAGATGTGAGGTTCTGATACAAAATAGAAATAGATCAGCGATATGTGCTCTAATCTGTTTATGCAAACTGTATTTACGACCTGAGATCGTTGAAGGTCGTTCTTAACTTGAATCACAGTAACCTCAAGTTCGTTGCCATTTTCTTCGCATTTCGTATTTTTATTATAACTTTTTAACAAAGCTTCTAACAATCTATGTTTACATAACATTTTCTTCTTACTTATACCCATAGAACATACTGACAAAGTTTGACAAAATTTTATCGGAAAAAACTGGGACACCCTGTATACATTCATACACCCTGTATTCATTGGACGAATTTCTTTAAAAATCTTTCGGAGATTGTACTATTTGACATGATTCAATTTGTTGCAATTTTATCTATAACTTACGTCACAAAAAGAATTTGTTTTTCCATTTGAAAAGCTGAAGGGCGCCTTGAGATATTGAAAAGTATGTACAAGTGAAACAAAAGTTGAGTAACGCTACATGTGGCTTCGCTTTTCGTTAAAATCAGTATTTACGGGTTTGTCGAAGTGATTACAGATACGCGCTGCAGTCTGCATGTGTGTGTATAGTTCCATAGAGTATAAAAAATATTTATCACAACTTTTATAGGTGGTTCGACGCACGTAATTGGAAATTTGTACAGAATGACTTGATTTTTCATTTTATCGTCCAATATTCGGTTAGTTACTCTTGCAGCGAATTGATCTCTTTTGCGCGGGAAAATGGTGATTATTTTGAATATTTATCACTGTATAATTGTGCAAAATAAATAGCACCGTTTAGTGACGGCGCTTATCGCATTAAGTGTTCGGTTTTGATAGCACGTTCGTTTTTTTCTCTTGCTTTATTTCGCCAATCACACCTTTTTATTTTTATACAACATGATATCCGATATTTGTATACTAACAACTTTAGCCATAACACAGGAAAGCAAATTTACATAGAGTTTCACTTTGAACACTTTTCATAGAAATAATATCGCATTGATTTATTTCGACTACTCGTTTTATATTTGTACGAAGGTATTTCACAGTAATTGGAATGCTAATTGGAACACTAATTAGAAAAATATAAATAAACGCGTAGAATTCATTATCGAAGCATACATTTCACCGTCAATTTCTACTGTCGGCACTTTTCTATCTCGAATCTTCTTCGCAGTGGCTTGAGTTATGTAGGTATTTGTCATTCGAATTGCAAAGGTGCAGAAAGAGTACGGCCAGCTTTTATTAAAATGCTCGATATTGTGTCTGTGTTGGAATTGATAACGCAGCGCGATCGTTCGAAAAAGTAATTGAAAACAATCTGCGACGTGCAATAATGCGGAAGACATGGAAATTCTAGATGCAACTGGGAATCTTAGACTAGCTTTGTAATCATGGTCGATAAATTCACAGAATTTCTTATTTCATTTCTATGATCGGGTCACCTCCGCTTTATGTGTCTGTTAGCGCAGTCATTACTGTTGGACTGAACACGTAAGTCAATTAGAGATATCGAACAAGTTTCTGACGTACGCTGCCATTCGTAAGCGTTATGATATCCATTATGTTCGTACAGAAAGTATTATACGATTTAAATTACATTTCTACGCCAAAATTGGTATCATATATCGGTAAAAGTGCAAGGTTTGATTAAAAAGTACCTAAATTGTACTGCACCCGCATGTGACCCTGTGTATTGCACCCGTTGTGCCAGATTTCGAAGGACCGCTAGAGTTTAAAGATCTGGCAAACTATATATTTTGTT